GCTAATGTCAAAATAAATATATATTTATTTAATTTCGTATATAAAAATATTTCATAAGCAATAGAAAAATACGATATTTATATGTCGCTTTTTGTTATTTTTGGACGAAAAAATCAGGTGATAATATTATGAAAAATACAATAAAAGATTTTGAGTTGGAATTAAGAAAGTTGGACCCACATGGCAGATCAAGCGTGCAAAATATTCTTTGTCCATGTCACATAAAAAGACAATACTTTTTACATAATTCTCATAGATGAATTTTTAGCAACTCAAAAAATGATTTATTTTATTTATTTATTATTTAGCACGCTTTACATCCGACATCCAAAATCCTAGCGTTAATAGAAATGATTAATTTTTGCATTATTTGTCTATTTAAATGGATTTTTTAGTGTGTTAATTTATAAACATCAATAAAATCGGAACTATATATACAAGTATTTTTAGTATGAAGAAAGCATTCTTAAAATTAACAAATGTTAGTTACTTAAAAATTACGTTTATTAAATATAACATTCACATACACTTATTTAATATATTAGATGCAAGACGCTTTCGGGAATGATTCAAATAATATTTTAAAAATAATCTTATTTGAAACTAGTTTGATTTCAGTGATATATTTGCACGATAGGTTACAACAAATACAAAATTATAATATTTTGAAATAATATATTTATACAAAATATTATAATTTTGTAAAGATTGTTATAACCCAAGTTTTCGTTTTAAATTTAAAATGCGGTTTTGGAAAATTGTTATAATACCATAACTAATATCTAATACAGAATAAAAACAGTTATATATAAATCGTACACTGATTTGTATCAGTTGAAAAAGCAATTTTATGTTTGCTTTATTGGAATTATCGTATTTAGTGAATAATATTCCCAAAATATATGGTTTTTAAAAGTTATGTAGGTTAAACATTCTGAGCAAATCTAGACATATCATTAAGGATCATATTTTGTTAGAAAAATGTTAGTTTTTATAGAACTAGACTCTACACATATTTTTTGTTATTTTACAATATTTAGTATGTTTAGTTTCACAGATATATTCGAATACATTATTAGAATTGACAAGCAACCTCATTCATAAACACGATAGTTTTGTTTAAAATTATTCTTAGAGGCAATTTGAAAGATTTAAAATAAATTTATATTAAAATAATAGCTAACTTTAATTCAATGATTTCGCGATCGAGTTCTTATTTTAATCTATAAAATAAATCTCACTCAAACAACAATATATATAAAGTGATCATTATATTTTAACAAAATGCTATCACAACTATTATGAAAATACACTTCTATATTAAAAATAAATTATATAATATAATTTATATATAATCGATGGATTTTCATCTTTTCTTGTAACTTTATCGGTAATATTCAATTTTTGTATCAAAAAAATTTTCAAATTAATTTACCATTCTTAGTATTGCAAATATAAAAATGATCACACAAATGGTTTAAGGATAGAAAATATGAATAAATATATAGCATTTAATGACAATTATTAAGAACGAAATAAATTAATTCTCAGGCATCCACATTCATTAGTATAAATTAATAATTATTATCACAATATTAAGTTGTTTATACTACCAACCAGAATAAGTTAGCTTCTACATTTTTATTGGTTCAAAATTATTAGTATTCATAAAATTGTGAGAAAAACATTCAAAACCGACTTTGTGATAATTGATAAAGTCAAATTACAATATAAACAAATTATGCCCATTATATTTTTATTTGGTTAAATTTATAGTTGGATAAAGAAATACCAAGTATTGCAGTGCTTCTTAAGGTCATTTTACCACAAAGCCAGATCTTTTATTTTTCCAACCAAATTCTTATTATTAATCACAAACCACCAAGATATAATAGAAACCAACATTACAGACAAATGTTCGTGCACCCAAAATTAGTCATTTTAGTTTTCATAAAATCTAAACTATTAATTTTTGTTAAAAGTCCCCAAAATAAATTTTATGAGGCCACTCACACATCTTTGGTCAGCTCTTTCTGGTAAGCTATGGGGCTCTGTATTGCCATCAGAAAGTCTTTCTGAGTTTGCAATATACTAGTTATTGTTCGCACCCATTCGGTACGTAGTTCTTGAGTCTGGGCCGTACAGGAGAGCCCCAGTACGGGCCTGGAAGGGTCCGTGGAACGTAGAATAAAACGAGGCAGGTCCGCGCTGTCGTCGACGGTTTCTTCTAAAGACATTTTGTTAACCTGGAAAAAGAGAAACATATACATTATAGAGAATGAAGTCAATATTTTCGCGGAAAACTGGCCTTACATTTTATGAAGAAATAGTAGATTTAACATTTTTTGGAAATTAAGTTTTTTATGTCTTCGGGAAAGTAGTAATAGACTTATTTCACATAAGTAAATTATGGAATTTCTCTTACCTGTATGTGCATTTTATAAATATAAGCAGGGTTTGTAAACTGCGTTTTCTTCCCTACAGCTTCTGAGAAAATTATACTTTGTTCAAACAGGAAAACTTGATATTCTTTTGGCTTATTGCCTGCTCCAACGAGACCACCTCCAAGACTGTTTCTTTCATTACCAGTATCCCAGCACAAAAGTGGCCCGTGCAGTAAAAGCTTGCCTTGTGCTGTGATTTTACCCTAAATAGACAAATCTTTAGTTATGTTTTCTCAAAATAAAATAGTTTTACAATATTTTATTCTACTCACATCGAATTTTTGAAGTCTGCCCACGTCCATCATATCATTTGCTGCTTTTGGAACAACTTGCATCACAAGCATCGCGTGCTTCAAAGATTCAGTCTCTTGTAACAGACCAGCTCTTTCTGTATGTTTGTAGATATCTTTCAAAAGCAATTGATATTTCATAATTCTTTGAACAGGCTTTATGAGCAAATCACACAGCTGAAAAATATCAGTTAAAATAAAATTAAAAATGGAACAATTTTTTTCTCGCCCTTTTATATTTATGCAAACTTGTACAAAATAATAGAACAAAGTTATTAATTTGGTTGTAATTATATTACTATTTTTACCTGCAATTTGTGTCCCATTTTTTGTCTAAGATCTTCAAAGTAAGTATCCATATATTCTGAGACGATATGTTCAGAAACCGGTTTGTTTTGGCAATACACAACGTACATATGCAATTTTCTTTCGTATCTCTTAAAAAGCGGTCCTAAATCTTGTGGATTATCTCTACATCTGGTCAAGGCTTTAAGGAAAAATCTGGAAAATGTGACAAATAATTAATCTGTTTTCTTATAGATTTATTTTAAATATATATTATTATCTTACTCTCTGTGCCATTCGTATATGGCTTCAACATTTCCGAAAATCATCTTATCTTTTCCGCCACGCAAATCTTCGGGCATAACTATGTCGCATTCTGGGTCGCGCATGTGCGCCATGTAACCGTCTACAATCTGAAAAAAGAATTGTTGAGAAAAATGTAAATTAAAAAAAAATCAGACAATTTTTTGAACAAAAATAATGACAATGAAAAACTTGTTATGTAGCAACTTACGAATGTGCCTTCGATCAGAGCTCTCATTATGATCATGGCGAACACAATTATGTTGCATTTATATATTAAATTACATCTCTCACCTGTGATAAATCATTAACATAGGCTTCCTCAGTCTGTACCAATTCCTTCAGCACAAAATCTCTCTTTTTCAAAGACCCAGCTACATCTATAATTTCGTTGTCTTGAGAACCGCCAGTGCCGGACTCATTATTCAATACTCCGTCCTCGGCGACTTCCAAAGTCGTTTCTAGGGATTTCGTACTGCTTACTGGTAAATTCTCAGAATGTTGCTCCTAAGAAAATTATTATTTTATTTAAAATCCAAATGTTTATGTGTTAAAGAATTTGGTGTTATAAAAATGTGAATGCAAATAAACATTTTTTTACAAACCATGTGCAAATATAGATTTTGTATACATGTGGTATGTGTATATAAAATTTCATTGTAAAGCCTTGATATTAGATAAAAGAAAAGAATGCTGTGTACTAGACTTCAAACTCCGTTATGTATATTTTATAAACAATATTAATATATACAAAAAATATAGAAACTGTTAACACAGAAAAGTAAATTTGTAGCTTTGAAATTTGCGTAAAAATTCTATACTAAATGAAATCGTAAAATATAGAGACAGAGTTTAAACCTTAGTGAAAATAACTACATTAAATAGAACATTAAACGAAAATAATATGTAAAATTATAAAAAAAATCTCACATTTAAATAGATAAAATAAGCTAAACAAAACAAAAAAAATAGATTTTTTCTAATAATGAACAACCAGGCAAAATGCACATAATTGAAAAAATCCCAAATCATATTTTTGTCTCTGGTTGATCATTTTCTTCTAGAATCTACTACTAACATAAACGTGAAAACTGTAATAACAAACAAAATAAAGATAAAACCACAGTAATGCAATCGTGTTAAATACTGAAAAAATCTAAATACAAAATTAATTCAAATATACTAAAAACGCCATGCAAAAATACAAATATACTGAAAAAATAAAATAAATATTAAAACACATTCTAAAAAAATCGCACCATTCGTTCTTTGACAATCTGCTCGATTTCAGAGATGTCTACAGAAGTTCCGTCCAGGGCTTTTAATGAAAGGGACGAGGACTGTGAATAATTTCAGAGAATTTAGTATTAATTTTACTCAATTTATACAATTATATCAGATTGAATAATTTAATGAATGTGCAACTTAATTCTCCATCTGTAATCGACGACCTAGGAATAATATTTTATTTCATATAATTTGACCAAATCCAAAGGATGCTTGGCAAATGTTGCAAAGATGAATATGATTCATGTCTTCGGTATTGAGATGTTGGGAGAAGTCATTTCTATTTAAAAAAATGCTCACTAATTCCTACACAGTTGGCTTAAGTAACTTCAGGCTTTCCCTCTGTTAATTAATTTTTTTTTTCATCTGGGTTATATTATTAAAATCAACATACATCAAATCTCTTACCCGTTTTCCATTTTCGTCCACCGGTTGATGTGAAGGAGTGACACTGGTGCTTCCAGTGCCTCCTGCAACCGTCGATCCACTTCCGACCAGGGTGGGATCCTGGATAGGTTTCATTGGAGGTGGCAGTTCTAGGGTCTCGTCTTCGGGGTCTTCTGGGGCTACGCCACTGGCAGAACCGTTGTGCGACGTAGTTGTCAAAGGTCGGGGTGCACTGGTGGAAGTTTGTAGACGTTGTTGGAGAAGACGTTGCTGGTCGTCTTCTTCGGACGACTGCTCGGTTGTTGATAGGTTGGCTGGTAACTGCAGGGGAAAAATCAATTTTAGAAGATTTAGAAATATCTCATATATAAAAAATCAGACTAAAATTCTTGACTTGACTTGGTCCAAAGCTGCTAGGGATAAAAGAACTAGACTTCATTTGTCTTTGGTTTGGAAAGGATCATTTGTTGTTCAGTTGTTGAATGTTCGAATATTTGGAATATTATTTCTATTGATATTTCTCAAAGCAAATGTAATGAAATCAGACTAAAATTCTTGACTTGCCTTAATCCAAAGCTGCTAGGGATAAAGGAACTAGACTTAATTTGTATTTGGTTTGGAAAGGATTATTTGTTGTTCAGTTGTTGAATGTTCGAATATTTGGAATATTTGGAATATTATTTCTATTGATATTTCTCAAAGCAAATGCAATGCAAAAATTATTAGGGCGTTATAAATATTTAGCAACATGCTAAAAACAACTAGAAAAAATCTGTTGTTCTTGTTTTATCATAAAAACATTCTGGCGCCCTCCATCCACAAAGTTGTCTGATAAATTGTTTTCGGTTCAGACCACAGCAATAAAACAGCAATATACTGCGTATATCATTTCCTATATATGTTTTAATATAAAATCCATACAGCACATGAAATTATTATTTTATCGTCACATACATAAAAGTTTTATACATCCAGGTCTGTTTATTACATTTTCGGTGCGTTAAATTATAATAGATTTTTGTCGTTATTGCGTTTTCATCGTCGCTTGTTTTCGATGGGTATGATTTTTTCAGGGAAAATTGGATAATTGGGTTTGTGACAGCAAAATATAAACAACGGGGATGAAAATTAATGTAGAAAAATATTTTGAAATAAATTGCTTTTCAAATTTTTGAATAATGGAAACAAAATGGAGCGAGGGTAAAATATTAAAGGAATGTATAATTTTACTGCGTTTTTTGGATTGATAAAATATATACTCTATAATCTCGCTAAAATTTTACTTCTAAATTTAAAAAATGTAAATTATTACCTTGAATCTCTTGTCAGAAGAGGTCTTCTTCAAAGGAGCAGTCGTTCTCTGATCCTGACCAGCTGTAGACGACTGTTTTTCCACTTTTCCTTGAGATAGTTTCCTCAAAGGTTGGGGTAACCATTTTCTACTGCAAAAATCATACAGAACGTGATAATATTATGGAATTATAAAAAAATGTGAGAGGCAAATATAATAATTATTGGATTCAATAAATTGGCACAATTTCTGGTATAACAATCATACATGATCATGGATGGAAATATGAAAAATGCGAAAGGCAAATCTGTAATACTCATTGGAATAAATAAATTGGAGTATGTTTTACTAAAAAAGCTAAAGAGGGTAACAATTTTTTACTGCAAAAATCCATCAAAATATGATTATATAATGAAATTATAACAAATACTAAAGCAAATAATTATTTGATTAAATAAATTGGCACAATTTCTGATATAACAATCATACATGATCATATGATGAAATTACGAAAGGAAAATCTATGATAATTATTGGAATAAGCGAATTGGACCATTTATTACTAAAAATTCAACCAGTTTATAATGATATGATAAAACTAAAAAAAGGTTAATCTATAGTAGTTATTGTTGAAAAATATTCGTAATTTTTCATATAAAAAGAATAAATATATATTTAATTTATTTATTGTTTCTATAAGCAGTCCTCAAGTTTTGTCACGAAAAAAATATATAGAAAGTTTGAGAAAATTTAAAAACATGGTATGTAAGTTACTGTAAGAATAATTTGCAACTTCTTTATAATAAATGTAGGTATAGTCTGAATATTATTAAGCAATTATTTTTTTAATGACAATGAAATAAATATATATATATACAAAATGAATTTAGAAATGTAAGTGCTCGGGGAAAACATACCATAAAATATCGATTATTGGTACACATGCCTCGAACTTATTTTTACAGCCTTAAGTACATAAAATAATTAGTTTATTTTTGGTAGATACAAATATCACAATATTCTTTCTAAAGTTTTTTTTATTAATTTGCGATCGCGAAACAAATTAATATATTTTATAATTTTGTATAAGATGTTTCCCAACCAGCACTCACTGTGACTTTAATTCTACTAAAAACAATTCCAAGTGGCTTCTAATTTTTAAAACCGAAATATGCGAAAACAAATCTACGCAATTCAACAACAAATTTCAGTCGATAACCGTTGTAATACAAAATTACGCATTCCTCATCCAAAGTTATTAAAACATCACGAATAAACTGCAAACAATTAAGATTGTATCAAAATATTAAAAACAAACGCGTATGAAAACAATCATGAAAAGTTCACATGTTAGAATTATTCGTGGAAGTTTATCGATGAAATGGTATTGATAAATTGTATTTATCGTTTTATCTTTTAAAACGATGGCTGATATAAAAGATATCATTGGAATATCAAGGCAAAGTATTTAAAAATATTTTAAATTTTATGAAATATAAATATTTAAACACACGCAAAATATGCAGCAGATATAACAAATTTTGTTTATAAAATATTTGTAAGTAATAATAATGAAGAAATTTTAAGCATTATATATAAAAATAAATAAATTGTTCTCGTTGGACGAAAACGTTGGTCCAAGAATTCTAGCATAAATAAATAAAACATTTTATTACAATTGAGAAGAATTATTTGTTTTAAGGGTATTGAACTGATATAAGCTTTTTTGTTGTGCTGATATTAAAGATTTACTTAACACGTTAATTACCATGTCAGTTTTATCTGTCTGACGCTAAAAAATTCTACAAAAACTATGTCAGACATATATGTGTGACTTAAGCGATTTGGTATAAGAAAAAAGGTTCTGATATAGAGCCTTGTCAATCGTATATACTTGACAACATAAAAGTCTTTATCCAGTAATATGGGCTTTGATAGATTTTTAACTAATTGACCTTATAAAATTACCATGGCCCATGTGGAGCTTTTTCTGATAATATCGGGGCTATTAACGTGTTAAAATTACAGGGGCTTGTTTACTGAAGTACTTGAAAATATTTCAATTTTTATAAAATGTAATGTAAATGTAATTCTGAATACAATACATAATAAAAATCATATGTGATAATAAATATTTTAGTGTTAATCGCCACGACAGTATCAGAAAAATTTTCACACGGGCCATGGTAACTTTATTAGATAATTTAGTTAAAAATGTAGCAACAAAACTTGAAGTATCAGAAACTATTTTCAAATTTTCCAATCAATTTTTTTTGCCAAGAAAGGAGAAAAATTCCTTGAAAAACACTATTTTTATGTCACATATATGTCTGACATAGCTCTAGATTAAAACTTTTTATCTCCTACCAAATCGCACAAGTCGCTTATTTAGAACTTTTTAGCGTCAGACACAGACGACTGACAGGGCAATTACAATGCTAAGAATTTTTCATGAAACAAAATCAACTTCACCATTTGTTCTTCGTTCTAAGGATAATAAAATGAAAACTTAGATGTACTTCCTCAATCATCTGTGGTATCTGTACAATCCATCCACACATTTGATAGACATATTTTTTTTAATCCCAATCACATAACAACAAATTAATTATTACCGATTATGATTTTCTTTCCTTTTACAATGGCAAATCCAAGAACAACATCTTAACACGCACATTATTAAAAGTATACTGATAAATCCAAATCATTTACAGGTATTTCTCACGTTTGGTAATATTGTATGTGTACAAAAGTTATTATCAATTTATTAGGAATCGTTCTGCCGTTTGCAAAATATTTAATAGTGTTTGTAGATAGCATATACGAATAGTATTTATCATATATAGATATAAATAGTCTATGTACTTGAACTACTATTAATCATAAGTTTATCTATTACATCATTAAATTCACTGGAATGAAAATTTATAAGAAAATCCATATAAAAAGATTATAAAGAATATATGACTTTTCTTACTTTCATATTGAGGTAAACTGTTTAAAGAAGTAAAAAGAAAACACGACAACCAAGTGGATAATAGGAAGTGTAAATAATAAAAAAATGTATAATATCGAACACTCAATCATAATTTGTGCAGTATAAATAAATTACAAATTTATTTATAAATATTTTACTATGTAATTTCAAAACTTACCCTCCAAATCCTCTTCTTTTATTAATTGGTGAAGAAGTATTTGCAGTTCCAGAACTATCACTGGTACCAGCATCTGTAACAAAAATGAAGGTTTAGTCCAAAATTTACATCACAAATTTTAATTGCAGAAAATTTATCAATTGGAAGAAGATTGGAAGAAATATTCATTGATATTTGACTAATTTCTTATATGATTTTTATGAAAATCATGAGCAAGATCTAATAACAATATCAATTATCTAATTGTAAGAATCATGCAATATATTTTCAAAAATAGATCTACAACCATATTAGCCAACTTCTTTGAACAAAACGTTATTGCTGCTTTGACTTAATACCAATAATAACAATTTAGTTGGTAATAAAAAATGATCAGAACCTTGTGGACTCAAATATTTCTGCATTTTATCACAAACAGCTTTCAAATTGGTAGTAGAAGATTTTCTCCTAGCCAAAATTGGACTAGGAACCGGAGATATATAGATGGCATCTCCACAACTTAAATCCACTGAGGAACCAGTGTGCATCTTCATAATGTTTAACATCGGGAAAACAAAATGTTTTTTTTTTCGAATAAACGAAAATTATTTAAAAGGTGCACTGCACTATAGTCTATGTTCACACATCACAGAAATATATATAGTAATTTTATATTAAATTACACTAGGAAATTAAAACTACATTTTTGGATTGCAGTTTTTGGTTTAACCTTTATTATCACATGTGCAATTGACAAAGTTTCAAACAAACTTGTGATTAATTATGTAATTTATAATTGTTTTTATGTCTCTATATATTATTTTACATTATTTCACTTCAGTCTTATCACAAATGCCCTGGATCATTCGACGCCATCAATTTTATATTCATATCAAACTAATCGAATTTTTATCATGAAATATTACTAGATAATGTCCATTTTTCGCGAATATAAAATTTCCTACGTCAATTACAATTATAAATAATCATTATGATTAATATAGACACATGTCAGTAAAAATATTATATAATATTTTAGATACAGATATGTTCTATTTGGAAATTCAAACTAAATTAGATTGCTCAGTATAACAAAGTAGATATCAAAATAACCAAGAAATTTAAGCATTGACAAGAAACTGTTAGCATAGGGACGTTCTCGCCGCCTGCCCCCGATAATTCCGATTGAATTTTTGCACAAATCATTCTAATTACCATTTAGATTGTCTAATTCTTTCATACATTGGCGCCCTATATGAAAGGGCGCCCTAGGGCAATGAAAGCAACAATTTCCATTTTCTTGATTTCTTCCCTTGCTCGTATTATCTACCATCATCTACGTTACATCAAGAGTATTTTCATAAAGAATTTCTCGTATTGAAGACATAGAAAGAATATTAAAAATAAATTACTTCCGTACAGAAAAGCTATTTCTTGATGTATAAAATATTCAATAGGATCCTGGATATGGATCTTCTTTGTGATTCTGATGAAATATATATTCATTTTGAATTATAAAGATTTCTTTTTAATTATTGAAGAACTATGACAGGAACTTATACTATCATCGTATTTACCAAATATTAGTACATTTATCTATGCAACGGTAAAATTCATTTTTTTTAATAAGTATAATTTCAGTTTATTTTTTCCCTTGTTACGATTTGTACTATCATCACTGTAAAAAATTGCATCACTGGACGTAGTATCAACTTAGATTTATTTCTGTTTCCAATGAAAAGATGATCAAGCAACTCTTATGAAGTTGTACATAGAAGTATATTTCTACAAATATCAATTACCCATTACTCTATCCACACCTGGTTGAATCAACCTATTCTTAACCGGTCGTTAATAAAACTTATAGCTCTCTCAATGTTACTCGAAAATTTCGTCGTGATCGCCTTTTTAATTTTTTGGCAACCGACTCAATTTGGCAAGTACGAGGCGAGATATTTACATTCCTAGGAGCTTAGAGGATCCGAAACGGTTCGGTATCCAATTTTTTTGTGATCGATAAGCGAACGTGTTGCAGAAAGATTTTTTGGCAATTCGGAGAAGACAACAAACTAGATTAAATAAAATGCCTATTAATGCTTGTAATAATGTTATGAAATATTTCAACTTCATAGAGGTACAAGAAATTCTTTCTTTCTGTTGTCGTTTTGTTTACTACACTGATGCGTGTGTTCTATTTATAATTTATATAAACACGTTTAATATAATATCATATATATTAGCTGGTGCTGGGAAAAAATCGCCAGTGGATTCCTTTATTGCACTCTACTTCAAGCAAATAAACAAGTAGGACTAAAAAGAAAGACAAGTCCTCTTCTCTTGCCCTAAGTAATTTAGTTAGAAAATATTTCTGTAGAAACTTTATTTTCTATTCTTTCCGTCTTTCCGTCTTTTTAGATTTGATTTAGCCAGATACATGACAAATGTATTAACCCTTTCCACTCGGATGCTGCCGCTCCGGCGGCAAAATTCAGATGAATCTCGGAATTAGCGAATGAAAGGGGTTAAAGTAAAAAAACTAAGAAATTGTTTGTACTAGCTATTCATTATTTTTTATTTAAGTTCTATTTCTTAGATTTTGTCTACAATAGTCTTTATATAAATTTATACAGTAATTGCAAATCTGAAACGATTCCAGATTGAATGGTTCTTCAAAAATCAAATATGAATAAATAAATAAAGTTACAAGTTTAATTTTTATAAACAAATTATCAGTATGTCCTCGTTCGCAAAAAACAGTTCTGAAATTCGCACGTGTACGTACTCTTTGCAAAAGATAGATTATTATTATTGGAAGAGAGAGTCGACATGTTCTTGATCTTGATCGAACAATTTATTATTTCTTGAATAGACGAAAATCAAAACGTAATTTGACGAAAAACATGTGGCCTTGTAGTGTTTATAACAGAAGTTCTGAGCAAATAAACACACTTCCTCGTGAACAAGTCCTGCGTAATTGCCAAGATGTATGATATAAAATCGTAGGAGTAATAAATGAATGGATCGAGATGTTCGTCTTGGATAAAAGTAACCAAAAATATGGATTTATGAAAATTTGAAAGGATTAGGACCTATATTTCGTTTAGATTACAAAAATATGGATGTAAAAAACGCAAGATAAATCAGGATCTGCTGGATACAAGATACAGAAAATACAGATAAATAAAAATCAGGATATATCGGGACGTATTTATATACTTTATATACTAGTTTTGTATATGTATGTATAAGCTCGTATGTATGTATAACATAAGAAATTTTCTTATTTTACGACAGTGCTGATTTCCACAGATGCATTTATATGTCAGAAAATCCCATGCACTGGCGCCTTCTGAAACATAACCATTAAGTTCCGGAAAGCAAGGAATTCGCGAATGCAAATCAGCGCCAGTTTGCCTTTGTGCAAATTTGTACTTTGCGAAATTTACAAGACAAGACAATAGCCTTATCTCTGTGCCAAATTACGGCATTTTGCACACACGACCTCACATTATATGTCATTCGTATACATTTATTTTTTGTGGTTTCAGAGCCGTTGCCCGAAGAATAGTCATACCGAGCGGGTTGATTGTCAGAAATTTATTAGAAATGGGGACACTTGTTGATACTATATATACATACATACATACATAGATATATACATATAAACACACATACAAACATACGTATGAGTACATGAGCACATATGAGTATAATTGCATGAGTATGCAAGAGGAGACTACATAAGAGCATTATGTATAATTGCAGGATTATATAAGAGAAGAGTACATAAGTGCATGGATGAATAATAATTGGAGTACTCAAGAGAAGAGTACAAAAGCTCATGAATGTATAATCGCATGAGTACATATAAAGAGTACATACATAAAAACATACATATAAACACACATACATACTAACATACATACATACATACATACATACACGTATGAGTACATGAGCACATATGAGTATAATTGCATGAGTATGCAAGAGGAGACTACATAAGAGCATTATGTATAATTGCATGAGTACATATGACGAGTACATAAGCGCAGCATGTATATTTTCATGAGTACAAATTAAGAGTACATCGCATTATGTATATAATTTCATTAGCACATACATAATAAAAAAACATATCCATTTATACACAAACACATTAATATTTAAAATCTATTAGTCATTGGCAAACAATTTTTGGAATGATATTTTTAATGTTGTTTAAATTCTAAATAAATTAATAATCATTTTCAAACAAATTAATTAATCAACATGATTATTATTTCCAAACTACATTCCTTACAATTAATACTAATTAAATTTTGTTTTCTAATAAATAGTTTGTATGCATACTTTAAATAAAGTCTATGACGTCGTTTATCAAACTGTAAATTAAATAATAAGTTCCCACCGTTCCCAATTGTATATATTTTTATTTCAAAAATAAAAATTAATTATTGTTATAAATATCAACAACAATTTGTTAATTGTATATTGTGATTATTAATATTGAATTATGACGCATTTGTTTTATCTTATACATTCGAGTATATCGTAATATGATATTAGAAGGTTTATCATTACTACAACGTAACAGAATAATTGACAATAATATTAACCCTTTCCACTCGGATGCCGCCGTTCCGATATAAATCTCGGAATTAGCGAATGGAAAGGGTTAATATTTTGGATAAAATTCATACATGACAAGAGATTGTTTTAGACTTTATAATGACAAACCATACAACGAATATTATATTTAAATTTATATAATTTTACTTTCACTGATATAAGTAATATATGAAAAAAATAAATATATGATAATCGTGCATTTTTTATTTCATCCAATACCAAAATCATTTATCAGTGTAAAGCAATTATTAATTATTAATTATCTGATTTCATTTTAAAGAGTCTAAGGTCCATATGACTCATTCTACGCGATATCAACTTGAGTTATGAATTACATACGCTTATGACTAAACGATTATCATAGCTTTTTTTCTTTAATTTGATATATTTACATAAACACATCTGCACAAATATGTCACCAAACCTCTTTTTCAAATTACTCATGCAATGATTTTATAAATA